CCCCGCCCCACGCCATCCGCCAGTCCAGGCTGCAGATGGTGTGGCGCCGCTCCGTGGTGCCCACCCGCCGCTTCTCTGGCGCCGCGCCCGGCGGGCCTGGGTCGCGCCCCGCGCCGCCGGGGCTGGCGTCGACGCCGGCTGGCACCGGGTCCACGCCCAGACCTAGGAGTGGCGGGATGGCGGTCAGGAGACCTGGGCTAAGAGCCCCCCACGAGGCCAGCTGGGGACGAGCGGCGCGTGGCCCCACCTCTGCCTTCTAAGTCTGGAGGCCAAACCCGCCCCGCTCCGTGCCCTTACTTTCGGGCCCACCCCCCGGCCTCGGCTCCACCCTGGTCTTGTCCCGCAGGCCTTTTCCACCCGCCACACCTCGCTTGGCTTCTGGTCTGAGGGCGGTGGCCAGGCAGTCTCCTCCCTCTGTTGGCCCTACCTCGGCCCCAGTCTCTAGTTTCAGAGACCTCTTCTTTGATTCCGGTTTCCCCTCAACCCCGCCTCTGGCCCCAGGCCACGCCCCTAGCCTGGCGGGGTTTGACCTGTCCCGCCGAAGCCCCAGCCGCGAGCTCCGCCTCTCTGGCGTATGGCCACGCCCCTGGATCAGACCCGGCTGCTAGCCCGAGCTCTCTCCGAGCGCAGCGATCTCGCTCTGTTTCACCAAGCGCTTTAACTTCAGGTCTCAGAATTTGGGCTCCTCCAACCTTCCCAGGCCCCGGCACCTGGCCTCAGGCTGGTGGCGATCCACCCTTCAACCGCAACCTTGGGCCGCGACTTCTTGCTTATAGCCATGGCCTGCCCTTCGTCTCAGGGTAGCGCGCTCAGGCCTTTTCCATCACACACCATCCATCCTCAACACCCCCACCTGCCCGCCCCCGCCTTTCCCAAGACTAGACGCTGGGTCTTTTCTCACCCTGTTCACCTCCCAGCCCTGCCCCTGGCCGGGCCCCGCCAGCTGTACCGGTCTTAAGCACCAGCAGGTGCAGCGCGTCGTCCTGCAGGTAGGAGGCGGCGGCGATCTCGTGCGTGGGGATACGCAGGATTAGCTCTTCGTTGTCGCGCCAGGTGAGCAGCAGGCAGCGGGCCGACAGGCTCAGGATGCTGTCCTGCTCCGCCGTGGTCTTCAGCGGCAGCTCCTTCAACTGCTGCGGGGTGGGTCGGATCTCCTGGGTCCCGGAGGAACTCGGGTGGGAGAGGGCGAAGGGGACAAGACCCTGCCCTCCCCCCCCTCTCCAGGGCCTCACCCTGGCGGTGTCCAGCAGCTGCAGGAGCTCGTCCCGGCTGGAGGGGTTCAGTGAGGAGGTGACCCAGGTGAGGTGGCCCAGGAACTGGATACAAAATGAGGGAGTGGGTGGGAGAAGGGCAGAGAGAAGTCACTTTGAAGCCTTGGAGGACCCAGACCTCCTCACTGAGGCAATGTAGATAGACTGAGGTATACATATCTGAATTAATAATAACCTGATAATAACTCTTAAGGTGGTCACAGAAGCCAGACCCAAAAAATGATGCCCCAAATCAATCAATAATTCTCCATCCATTCTTAGTTATAACTTAATGTTATCACAAACTTTAAGTTACTCAATGTAAGAATTAACTTTTTCCATTAAAATAATGGAGTAATAGTTTTGTTCTTCTAGGTGAATTCCAGCAATCAAACTGTTTTCTTCTTTTATTCTCTATGAAATTTCAGCGCCCAGTTCTTATGTGCACCTGTTAGCTTTACCCTCCATATATCCTTGCCAGGTAAAATACAAGATGCCAGTTAAATTTGAATTTCACATAAACAGTGAATACTTCAAAAAAATTTTGAAGTATTTTTAGTCCCATGCAATATTTGGGACATATTAATACGACACAAGTAGTTATTGCTTATCTGAAACTCACATTTAAATGGGCAGCCTGTCAAACCTGACACTCCTATCCCCATAGCAATCTTCCCTGGGCAATGAGGATTCTCCACTGCTCCTTCATGGTGCTCTTGAAATAGAAGAAAGGCCTTGAGTGATCTAAGTCCTCTGTGGCTTGCTGAGCTGGGTTCCTTTACCCTGGAGACTGAGTACCGACAACGTTATTGCAGTAAAATCTCACAGGAAGGTATGGCTTTTGCCATCTGCTCTCCCTTGTGGGTAGGTTTTGAGGCTCGTGCTGGGATGACAACACTGAAGCTGAGCAGATGGACATCATTTGCTGAAGGGCTGCAGCATAAGGCAGGAGCTAGGCTAACTTGAACCCAGGTCTCTTTCCTTTGAGCCTCCCCTGTGTGAGACTGGGCTGGTCAGGGCTTGGTGTGGGGGAGAGGTGCAGTCTCTCCTGACGGGATCCAGAACATGCTACCCCAAAATATGGCACCTCGGCTTACAGAATATCCTAAGCTTGAAGAAGTTGAAGAAAATGGTAGAAGCAGGAAGGTCCCTCTGACCTGCCCCCACCCCTACCTTTCTTCCCTGAAAGCAGAAGATGAATCTCCCACACGAAAGGTACCTTCCCTGTACCGGAAGGGAACCAGACATCCTTCTCATGAGGGAATTTAGGGCTGAGAAGGCTGTATAAACAAACCTTGTTCTTTCTTCACCCTTTACTACCCCTAGCCCCCACCCCTCTGCCTTGTCAGTTCTTCACAAATTAACTGATTGTAAAAAAGATACAAAAGCTTCATGCTCTGGTCACTTCTTTGGTCCTTCACTCTCTCGCGAAGGCTCTCATGGACATGTAAACATTTAATAAAATGTGTACGCTTTTCTCCTGTTCATCTGTTTGTCAGCTCAATTTTCAGACCCTGCCAGGGACCCTTAAGAGAGTTGAGGAAAACCTTACCCCTCCTTTACCCCTTGCCCCAAGATTCTGCCCACCCTTCTCCTCATCCCCCACGTACCTTGACCTCTTTCTCCAGATAGTCACACAGCAGAATCTGGGGGTCGATGAGGTAGTCAGGGGGATAAAGGGGCATCGAGTGCAGGGGCCGGCGACTCACGCTGGTCCGAAAGGCTGCCCGGCGCGCGGCCTTGGGGAACACCAGCCTCCGGATGGGGGAGACAAAGCCCTGGGGGTGGGGGTGTGCAGGAGAAATAACAGTAATAACAGCAACTGATGTTATCAAGCACGTCCACATTCAACATTTTAACTATTTCCCTATTACCTGATTTAATTCTCATAGACTCTGCAGAAGGGGTACCTCTGTGATCCCCATTTTATGGATGGAGAAACTAAGCCTCAGAGGGAGAACTAGCCGAGAAGATCACCAGCTATTAGCAGTAGAACCAATAGTCTGGCTCTAAAATCTCCATTCTAAACACCCAGATGAGGGCGGAGACCCTGCTAAGGCCCAGGCCCAGGCCCAGGCGTAAGGAGTGGGTCCAGGCTGGGACAAGTAAGAAAAATATTGAGATTCAGTGTGGCTGAGGGGTGCCTGGGTGGCTTAGTCGGTTAAGCGTCTCACTCTTGATTTCAGCTCAGATCATGATCTCACAGTTCCTGGGACTGAGCCCCACTGACAGCACAGAGTCTGCTTGGGATTCTCTGTTTCTGGCCCTCCCCCACTCATTCTCTCTCTTTCTCCCTCTCTCTCAATAAATAAACTTAAAAAAAAAAGATTCAATGTGGCCAAGTGGTGAATGCACAGATATTTGTTAAGCTATTCTCTGTGCTTTCCTAAAAATTAGAAATAGTTAATAAGTAAGGGCACCTGGGTGGCTCAGTTGGTTAAGCGTCATGACTTGGGTCATGATCTTGTGGTTCGTGAGTTCGAGCCCTGCATTGGGCTCCCTGCTGTCAGTGCGAATCTCGCTTTGGATCTTCTGTCTCCCTTTCTCTCTCTGCTCCTTCCCCACTCATTCTCTCTCTCTCTCTCCAAATAAGTAAAAATAAACTTAAAAAAATAGTTAATAAGTATGTTTAAGTAGAATCCAGCAGGCACTTGCATAAAAATGGCCTACAGCAAGGTTAAAGAAGCCAATTCCAGGACTCCAGCCCAGCCCAACAGAATCTAAATCTCACAGGAAAGCACTACTCTAGAGCAGTTCTTAGTGTATGGTTCCTGCATCAGCAGCGGCGCCAAGGAACTTAAGAGATACGCATATTCTCGCTTTCCATCCCAGACCTATTGGATCAGAGCTTAGGGGTAAGACCCAATAATTTATGTGGGTTTTTAAAAAAATTTTTAATGTTTATTTATTTTTGAGACAGAGAAAGAGGGACAGTGTGAGCAGGGGAGGGGCAGAGAGAGAGGGAGACACAGAATCTGAAGCAGGCTCCAGGCTCTGAGCTGTCAGCACAGAGCCCGACGTGGGGCTTGAACACAAATCATGAGATCATGACCTGAGCTGAAGTTGGCTGCTCAGCCAACTGAGCCACCCAGGCACGCCCCCCCCCCCCCAATAATTTATTAATCAACACTCCAGGTGATTCTGATGCGTGCCCAGCCCAGATTTTAAAACCAGTATCATGGAGCCTGCATGAGATATATGGAGGTTCTGCTAAATGAGAGCACATGGTCTGGGAAAGGGCGTTCCAGGCAGAGGGCACGACATGTGTGAACGTCTGGGGGCTGGCAGGGCTGGCTGAACATGATGAGCCTGGAGAAGGGTGGGAAGAAGATTCAAGCCCACAGAGGGCTTGAATGTCAGCTGTGGAGCCGGGACTTTATTCTGTGTGTGTGAATATGTGTGTAAGAGTGGAGTGTAAAGGTAAAAGTTTGGTCTGTGGCCCTCAGTGGTCCAGCCCTGCCCACCTCTCCAGCCTTATCTTACTGTCCCCTCACTCCTGCCCTCCAGCTACAGGGCCATCTTGTTTGCTACATTCCTTCCCACTGAGAGCTTTTGTACACGCTGTTCCTCCCCCTGAAACACTTCCCTACCCTCTCTCCTTCTGCCCATTAGATCTCAGCTCAAGCTGACCAGGCTAGGGCTGGGTCCCCTAATATTCTGTACCCCAGCACCACGTATGGCGTCTCTCATGCAACTTTGTATTAACTGCTTTTCTTCAAAGTTGCCTTCCCCCAAAACGCTGTGAGCTCCAGGGAGGGAGCAGAGACCTTGTCTGACTTTGCTCACTGCTACATCATCACCAGCACCAGGCACAGTGTGGGGCACAAAATAAGTTCTCAGTGCACATCTGCAGAAGGAATGAGCCAAGAGAGAACAAGCACCTAGGTCTTGGCTCCCTTCTGAGCCCTCACAATTCACATAGCCTGACCTAGGATTCTTGGGGGAAGAGGGATGGGTGCGGGTGGGCACTGGAATCTGAGGGACTCCCTGAATGGCAAAGACAACCAGGTGAGGTGTCCAGGGAGCCAGACTACAAAACTTCTGACGGTAAGGAGGAATGAGGATCTGGGGGGGCAGGGCGCAGACGAGGCTGGAACCCAGCAGGGGAGCAGGTAGGTGTCTCAATCTGGATAGACAGCCTCATAGCACAGAGCTGCCCTGGCTGAGGTCCTTCTGTCTGGGAGGTAGGGAGAAGAGGAATGGGTCTGTTGGGTGTCTGTCTGTCCCTCAGTCTGAGGAAACCCCAGGAAAACTGTGGCAGCAGTTTGAGAGTATCTCCCAAAGTCATCTGTCTGGCTGGGTTTCCCTGGAAGGTGCCTGAGTGTCCCTTCCAGGGATGGCAGAGGCCATTGAGAGCCGGGAGACAGGTTAGGGAGTTTGAGCCCAAGTGTCTGGTTGCCCAAGGGTGGGAAGGACGGTCTTTCCAAATGAGAAGGAAGACTCTATGCCACTCGCTGCCCATCACCCCCACCCGGGTTCTCCACTTTACTCCCTCCAGGGACATTTCTCTACCTGGCATCCCTCCCAACCTCCCACCTACCTTTTTTCCTTTCTTGACTTCATATTCCATGGTGAAGCGTCCCCTCCACTCCTGCCACCCTCCTGGCCAACCCCCTCCACCCTCTCCCCCCACACAGTTCCTTTGTTCTTTTTCCTGCCTGGTCGGAAACTCCACCAGCCCTGGAGTTCCTGCCCCTCCCGTCTGATAGCGAGTAGGGGGTGGGGGGATGGAGGCTGGTGCAGGATGCAGCCTTGGGCCCCTCCAGCTGAAGGGTGGAAGGAAACCCAGCCAGACCAACTGTCCTGGGGAGAACGCCTCCAGCCTGAAGCCAGAAGGCTTGCTGTTGAGGGGCGCTTGGGAACTGAGTCAGGCTAGGGATGGGTCCCCTGATTTGGAGTCAGAAAATCCCAAATCCCAACCCTACTTCTGCCACTGACCTTGTGGTGTGACCTTGGCAAAGCAAGTCAGTTCCCTTCACAGCCTCAGTTGCCCCCTCCTCTCTATAAATTAGGAATAAAATTGCCTCCCTCTCTGTGGTGAGGAACATATGCAAAAGTGGGTAGGAAAATGCCTCCCAAACTATAGGATACTTAATTACAAATTAATTAATTAAAAATTAATCATTACTCTTAAGGAGGCAGTATTCATGGGCTTTGAGGACAGGCTGCCGGAGTTTGAATCCTGATTTCGCCAATTACTAGGGTGATGACCTTGGACAAGTCCCTTATCCACTCATTTCCCCATCTGTAAAATGGGCATCATGCCGGTCTGACCTCACGGTGACCTTGTAAGGATTAAATGCACTTAGAAGAGCTCCTGACACATACGAAGTGCTTCGTGAATATTAACTACTTCCCTATCTATGTGTCTGTGTGTCCCAGGCTCTTTTTCTCTCTCTTGGGAGAATCTTAGTGAGGCAAGTTTCCTTTTGTGGTTCTGTGCTGAGCACTTTACATATTTCATCTCTCTTATTCCTTACAGCGTTGGGGTATCGTTATACCTATTTATACAGATTTATACGTCAGCCTCAACTGCAGAGGCTGACCCGAAAAAGTCATAGCGTTTGTAAGAGGAGGACCTGGGATTTCTGGGAAGTCTGGATCTGAATCCTAGTTCCTTACCTCTAGGGCCAGTGTGCTCAGCCTGTCCCACCCAGGACAGTTGGGGAGGTTCTGACTGACCCATCCACACCTCCATGACACCTGGGTTCTAGAGGTCCCAGTTTGCTGTATGATCTAGGGCAGACTGCTTATTGTAACCTCTCTGGGTCTCACTTCCTCATCTTTCCAGTGGGAGCAATGATCCCAAATACCCTGCCCTGCAGTCAGAGGTGTGGCAGGAAAGGCATCTGACTATGCATGAGACAGAGCAGCTGGAAATTGTGAAGGGCAGGGGCTAATGCATTGGACTGTTTTGAAGCTCTAGTGTGCCAGATCAGTGCCCACAGGAGTGAGAGAGAGCTCCCCACTGCCTCTGGGTGTGAGGTCCACGGAGCCTCCAACCACTAGCCTTCCGCCTTCCCTCCCTTTCGGGGGAGGAGAAGTAGTCCAGGCTGCTTAGTGCTAGCTCACACAGCCCCTCCCTCCCGCTCCCCTATATCCGGCTGTCAAGTCCCAGCATCAGGAAGTGAGATGTCCAGCAGCCCGCCAGGCCCAACAGGAAGAGGCTGGGATGTGCAACCCCAGCCCTAACAGCTCCTGACACCCAGGACACCCAAACACCCACTTTACCCCTTGAGCAACTCCCGAATCCCTCAATTTCCCTATCTGTAAAATGAGGACTTCTGTTATTCCTGGACTAACTCCAAGTATCACCGAACTGCTGGGAATACCAAATAGGACGAGAAGTGTTCTGAATGCTGCTAGAAATAGCAAACTATCTTTGCATTCCCTGCATGCCCACCCCAGGGCCACAAACAGTAGATTCATGTGCTCAGTAAATGTCAGCGGAAATAGGTGGAGACAGGTGGACTTAGGTTCAAATGTGTATGACCTGGAACAGGTCATCTTTCAGAGCCCCAGAATCTCAAGCGTCAGCAGCAAGATAATGATGATGCTTGCCTCATAAGGCTGCTACAGGGATTAAATGGGAACAGAAGCATACAATGGTAACATTGATTATTAAAATTAGCTTGTGGGGGCGCCTGGGTAGCTCAGTCGGTTAAGCATCCGACTTCGGCCCAGGTCATGATCCTGCATTTCGTGGGTTCGAGCCCCGCATCAGGCTCTGTGCTGACAGGTCGGAGCCCGGAGCCTGCTTCAGATTCTGTGTCTCCCTCTCGCTCTGCCCCTCCCTTGCTTGCGCTCTGTCTCTGTCTCCCCAAAATAAATAAACATTAAAAAAATTAAAAAAAAATAAAAGTAGCTTGTGAATCAAAACAGATGAGTGAAACAAAGTCCGTGTTCTCAAAGACTTAACAGTTGTGGCAAATAGGGTTCATCTCTTTGGGGCCACCTCCGGTTGATTGGCAGGGGCTGCCTAGAGCTCTGTGTAGAAGATTATGAAAACCAGATCTACTCTCAGAACCAAAAGGGGATTGATTATCAATGCCTGCCATGGGACAGGAGGAGGGGATGTGACAGCAGGTATATGGTGCATATGCTGACCCTGATCTGGCTGGAGAGACACATAAGCAAAACCTCTGATGCAAGCCAAGCATTTGGGGAAGGCAGAATCAGGGGCCATTCACCGAACTCCAATGCATTCAAGTTGAGCCTTGAAGGACATACAGAAGATAGGTCACTCTAGGCAGAGGAAACAGCTTGAGAAAACACACAGTGCCTGGGTTGTGATGCTTTTGGCTCCAAAGAACAGGCTGCCCAATCAAAGATGGCTTTGACAGTAAGGAAACTGTATTACCTCTCAAGACAAGAAACCCAAAGGCAATTGATTTCAGGGCTGGTTAATTGAGCACCCCAAAATGACATCAAGTTCCATACATTTCCTACTGTGCTGCTGTTATGGGCTGAATTATGTCCCCCCACCCCCGCCAAATTTATACGTTGAAGCCCTAATACCCAGTACCTCAGAGTGTGGCTATTTGGGGAAATAAGGCTTTTAAAGTGGTGATTAAGTTAAAATGAAGCTGTAAAGTGGGCTCTAATCTCATCTGACTGGTGCCCTCCTGAGAAGAGGAACTTCAGACACACAGAGAGACACGAGGGGTGAACACACAGAGGAAAGACCACAGGAGGACAGAGCGAGAAGGCAGCCGACCAAAAGCCAATGACAGAGGCCTCAGAAGAAACCAGCCCTGCCAGCACCTTGATCTCAGGCTTCCGGCCCCCAGACCTGGGAGAAAATACAGTTCTGTTGTTGGAGCCCCTCAGTCTGCGATATTTTGTTACGGAGGCCCAGCAGACTGATACCGTTGGCCAGATGGGTGCAGTGGCTTTTGGAATAATACAGACACAATGCCATCCATCACTGTCCTGCTTGTGATGCTATCAACTCCCCCCCCCCTTTTTATTCAATTTTTTATTTCAATTCTACTTAGTTAACACATATGGTAAAGCTGGTTTCAGGTGTAGAATTTAGTGATTCATCACTTACATAGAACACCCAGTGCTCATCACAAGTGCCCCCCTTAATTCCCATCACCCATTTAGCCCACCCCACACACACCTCCCTCTATCAACCCCCAGTTTGTTTTCTGTAGTTAAGAGTCTCTTATGGTTTGCTTCCCTCTCTCTCTCTTCCCCTCTCCCTTCCTCTATGTTCATCCATTTTGTTTCTTAAATTCCACATATTAGGGAAATCATATGACTGGCTTATTCCACTTAGCATAATACACTCTAGCTCTATCCACATCATTGCAAATGGCAAGAAAGATTTCATTCTTTTGATGGCTGAGTAATATTCCACTATGTGTGTGTGTGTGTGTGTGTGTGTGTGTGTATACATATACATGCCACATCTTCTTTATCTGTTCATCAGTCAATGGACATTTGGGCTCTTTCCATAATTTGGCTATTGCTGATAGTGTTGCTGTAAACATTGGGGTGCATGTGCCCCTTCAAATCAGTATTTTTGTGTCCTTTGAGTAAATACCTAGTGGTGCAATTGCTGGGCCATAGGGTAGTTCTATTTTTAACTTTTTGAGGGAACTCCATTCTGTTTTCCAGAGTGGCTGCACCAGTCTGTGAGGCCATCAACCCCTGATAAGGCTGAAGGGTTTCCCCTTCTTTGATTGTGAAGGAACACCTGTCCCACAGATTCTTCAAAAGACTTCCCTGAGGAGTCTAGGAGCCAGATGTATGAGCCAGGACATATTTTGGCTGTGACAAAGACACAAATAACAGTGGCTTAAACATAATAGAAGTTTCTCTCTTCTATCACCTAAGCAGTCGGGGCAGGCATGGCAGCTCCAGATGTCTGGGACCTAGGGGCTTCCTATCTTGTTACTCCCCATACTAGGATTTTTTTCTCACCTTCAACACGGCTCTGGTCCAGCCAATAGGAAAGGTAAACCTAGCCGGAGGAGAGCACAACCCCTCCTTTTAAAGGGATAACCTGTAAGTATATATGAAATTCTACTGCTCACATCCCATTGGCTAGAACTTGTTTCCTTGGCCACACCTAACTGCAAAGGAGACTGGGAAATGTAGTCTCCCAGGTGGCCACCAGCCCAACTAAAAAAGTTCCTTTATAGACAAAAGGGAGCATGGCTACCGGGGGACACATAGAAGCCTCTGCCTCACAGAATTGAGTCATATGCCCTTGCCCCCACCAGTCTTCAGTCAGGGGAATATTTTGGAGCAATCGTTCTCAAACTTGAGTATCAGAATCACCTGAAAGACATAAAAACAAGCTGCTCCCAACCAACCCCACAGTAGCTGATTAGGTAGGTCTGGGTGGGGCCTGAGAATCAGCATTTCTAACAAATGTCTGGGTAATGCTGGTCTAGGGACCATCTTTTGAGAACCCCTGTCTTGGGCCAATTCTGACTTGCTTCCTGGGGCCAGGTAGAGGCTGCATTCCTGGAGCATTTGGGATGGGGGTCCCTAGGAAGTGAGGCTCCACCTGCGTGAAAGAAAGGTGAGAAAGGCTGTTGGGTGGGAGCCAGGAGAGGCTCACAAAAACAGGAAGATGAACGGTTTGGAGAGGC